CTCCCCAAAACCCCAAAACCCCAAAACCCCAAAACCCCATGAAGTAAGATAAAGTTACAGTTTGTTTTTTAGTATAAATTAAATAATATTCCTACGATTTAGTTGCATTTATCGATGCAGCATGTTTGAAAATAACTAAGCAATTCTAAATACTTGCTTTTATATTGTTATATTCCAAATATTTATCATTCTACCTTGAACTGAATTTGATCTTTCTTATATTTTTTGACATTCAGTCTTCTGATTAAACCGGTAATCATTAGATAGAACCAAAACACGTTGAGAACTTGCAAAATGCCAAGGAAAACAATCAAAAACCTTGCTACTGGTTGGGCTCTAAACAAATAGTTAAGATTAGTATATATCTTACACTGGGTGTTCATGGAACCAAGCTTAGTCATAGAAAGGCTTCATAACGTATATCGGGAAGAAATAAATTCTAGAATAGAACCAAGTTGAGGCCATAATTCCAAAGACTACGTTTTAAACGATTTCATTGACATCGACGCACATCTTAAAGAGAGCTACAAAAATATCACTTCCATCCATTATCAGCATGATTACTGTGCCTACTGGTAAGCAGTTTGTACAGTATGACACTCCAACTAATGCGATGGTAATAATATGATGTAATAAGAACTCTGAGAAATCTCTGCGGTGTCTATGTGCAATGCAATTGTAAACCATCTCGAAAGTATGGTAAGATAACTTGATGACGTAGAGGTCATCGATAAAATTAGGAAGTTGCTAGCATGGGTAGTTAGTGAAGTACTAAGGATTTTCCTCGCTACCCATCAACCCCTTGTGCATGAAGTTGCTCTACTTAAGATTCCAAAACAGTGCTAATGATGTCCCGCAGTAGACGAAAAATCTAAAGACTCTCTCTGCGATAATCTAGGCTTTGGTGTCTCTTGTTGAGCTTCCAATAGGGAACTTCTTCTAAGGTAATACCTTCAAGAAAAGTGACTTCGCTACAAACTATACTGGGATCATAAAGTTAATAATGACAACCCAGGTACCGAAGAATAGCTGTAAGAACTAGGGATTGGTATGTGTGCAATCTGGCTTCTCGTCTTTGATATAGTTGACGTACTCTCTAAGTTTGACTCCTTGATAAATTGAGATGGGGAAAGCTACCAGAGCCAAGAAATAGAACAGATAATCCTTTATTTCCATTTAATATATGTCTTCTTCTTTATTAAGTATTATAACTATAAAACTAAATCCCAATTATATTTTAATGAGGTCATACTTTGTAATAATTTTTATCCAATTATTTCTCAACGTACTCAACTTTAATAAATTTCTGCTTATGGGGTTTTGGGGTTTTGGGGTTTTGGGG